CAGTGGCCAGTAACAAGACCTCCCAGAACAGCCTAATACCACCACCCAAACACAAAAATCTTTTCTAGAGCCCCAAAATCGATTCTAGTTGGGAAAGCAGCTAGGACTGCTTCACACCTGTCAATTTCTATGGATCATCTTCCATTGATGGTCCTGACAGCTAGTTCATTCATACCTTGGCCTTCTCTGGTAAGAGACCAGAAGCCAAGCAGAGGCATGAGCTAGCTGAAGCACAGTCCTAAAGGACAAGATTTCCCAGAGAGCTCTCAGCAAGACCCTGGGGAGGACCAGCTCAGGCAACCACAGGTAGGAAAGAGTTTGATGACGTCAGAAACACGGAACTATTGCCTTCCAAGTGGATTCCTTGGAAGACTGCCCACTTACTCTAGAGACTTCCAGTGCTCATACAACTCCCCAGAAATCACCTTCAGACCCACCTTTCCCTCAGTTGATCATTCTGCTTCATTGTCCACAGTATTCATCCAAGTGACTTTTGGGTCCATCTGAGGCCACTCCCAGGAACCTCAGATCCAGTCAGAAAAGGCTGCAGGACAAGAATAACATTTACTTTCCCGGCGGTCTCGTCTGTCCAACACTTGCCTTTACCCGCAAAGCACTCATGTGTGCTGGCCTCCATTCTTCCTATCCCCAATAAAGATCTTAAATCACTCCCAGACAGCACGAGAGTGTGGGAAAACCCTCTCCACAATGGAGGTCCAGCACTGCCTTCCTCAGAAAGGGGGTGGGGAGGAGGGCTGCCTCATCTCCCTCCCAGGCCCAGAGATCAACCCCAGGCTCCATTTGTCCCATTAATGAGTCTTAAGCGTTTAGCGTGGGCTCCTGCTGGTCCTGCTCCTACAGGAGGGGGAGGGTGGGAGAGAATGGGACTGAGCTTGTGACTGCCTAGCTCTGCTGGGCCCTGGGAGGGTAGACACTGGGGCTACCTCACACAAATCTACCCACCCAGAGGTGTCCCCTTGAGGCCTTCTGCCTCAGGGACTTCCCCAATATACATTCCTGGGCCCCCGCTCTTGAGTTGAAATAGGGGGATGGGCCCAGAACATGCATCTTTCATAACACCCAGGAGGAGCTAGTCATGTCCAGTGAAGGTTAAGAACCATTGCTCTAGGAAGTTTGTGCAATGGGGTATACACATATTTTTCAAGGATCCATAGCTCTGGTCTAATCCACAGATTAAATAAATACTCCACACTCCTAACTTTACTTTTTTTTTTTTTTGTCAGTCATGGGGCTTGAACTCTGGGCCTGGACACTGTCCCTGAGCTCTTCAGCTCAAGGCAAGAGCTCTACCACTTAAGCCATGGCGCCACTTCCGGTTTTCTTGTGGTTCATTGGAGCTAAGAGTCTTACGGACTTTCCTGCTCAGGCTGGCTTTGAATCATGATCCTTAGAGCTCAGTCTCCTGAGTAGCTAGGATTACAGGTGTGAGCCACCAGCACCAGGCCACACTCCTAAATTTAAAAATAAAAATAATAATAATAACCCTTGAAGAAAGCAATGCTAGAGAATCTAGAAAGGCTTTACTGGGTATCCACACCCCCAGTGTCTTAGCAATCATGTATATGCAATGAATTCCTCATTAAAATAAATAAACAAATAAACAAAAATCCAAAGGACAGGATTCACAAGGTTTCTGGATAGCTGAATTCAGGGATGTTTCCTAGAAGGTGGCTATTATGATGTGGATCTGAAATGTGTGTTTCTCTCCTCCCCCCCCCCAAAAAAAAATGCTCACAGTGCAGTGCTCAGAGGTAGAGCCTTCACAAGCCCTTGGCTCATGAGGGCTGTAACTTCAAATCCATTGATGAATTCCTAGCTTAATACGATACTGAAGGTGATGGAAACTTTAGAAGTTAGGACCTCATTGGAGAAAGCTGGAACATGTTTTTGAAGGGAATGTTTGTCTTGGGCCCTTCCTCCTTTCTCTTCTCCCCTTCCTTCTTTTTTTTTTTGTTGTTGGTTGTGGGGCCTGAACTCTGGGCCTGGGCGCTGTTCCTCAGCTCTTCAGCTGTAGACCAGCGCTCTACCACTTGAGCCTTAGCTCCACTTCCGGCTTTTTCTGCTTATGTGGTGCTGAGGAATCAAACCGAGGGCCTCATGCATGCAAGGCAAGCGCTCTACCACTGAGCCACCTTCCCAGCACCTCCCCTTCCTTTCTCTCCCCTTCCTTTCCCTCCCACCCTCCCTCCTCTCTGGTTATGAGACAACTTGCTTTCTTCCATTTACTCCCTTATTTACTACCTGACCTCAGGCCCAAACAATTGTGGGTTGAAACATCCAAAGTATGTACCATGCCTGAAATCCCTGAGCCACTCAGGAGGCTGAGATCTGAGGATCACAGTTCAAAGCCAGGCTAGGCAGGAAGGTCCATGAGAGTCTTCTCTCCAATGAACTACTCAAAAAGCCCGAAGTGGCTGTGTCTCAAGTGGTAGAGCATTAGCCTTGAACAAAAAAAATCTCAGAGACAGCACTCAGGCCCTGAATTCAAGTGCCAGGACCAGCACACACACACACACACACACTGAGACACACACACACACACACACACACACACACACACTGAGCCAAAATAAAGCTCCTTCCTTCTTTAAATTATTTACACACACACTCACACACACACTGAGCCAAAATAAAGCTCCTTCCTTCTTTAAATTATTTCCAGTATTTTGTCACAGCTAACAGTTAACACTCAGAGGTCTTGAAAGCTTCCAAGGGTCCCCCTACCCTTCACACCATTGGTATCCTCTGTGTTTCCTTGATAATAAACCAGTAAATGTGTCTTTCCTGAGTTCTATGAGTCACTCAAACAAATTAAACCTGTGAAGGGATTTATGGAAACCCCACGTGATAACTGGTCAGAACTATATATCAAACAACAGCAGAATATTTGGCTGAAGAAGTTTTACATAAAGTGTTGAAAGTACAGCTTTGCTTTTCTTCAATGCTTAAACCCAAACCCATAACTAACTAAAAAGAGAAGCATTTAACCTCTCCTTATTGTAAAAAAGGGTGTGGCCAAGTGACCATTGGATACCGTGATTACTATGAACAGCCAGTGCTACTCATCTGGACTACGGGAGAATGAATGACCTTGAGGCATCTCAGATGATCAGACCTGCCCCTCCCACTTCTGGCCCAGAACAGAATGATGTTACAGGGACTGGGAGCTCCCAGAGGGTCTCAATACTCAGCAACCAGCACCACCTCAAGGCTTTTCACCCCACTTCACAGGGAGGGCACAGTGTCTGCCCTCAACCCCAGAGGGCACAGGTAGTAAGCCTTGGTGGCGTGTGCACAGTACTATTTCAGCCAGTGTGTGGAGTACACAGCTGTGGGCCTGACTACCTTTGCTGGGCCTGCAAAGGATGCCACACAGGAGTGGGCCACTGCAGAGAGCCCCAACTAGGACCCTGTCCCCATCGGGGTCTGGGGTGAGGCTATCCACAGCTAGATCAGTGAAGCCAAGCAGACCAGTGGAGCCTGCACTGTGCAAGTCTAGCCCAACGTCATCATTTATGATCCAAGCACAGTCACGACAGACAACTGAAGGAGAGCCAATGGGTCAAAAGGGCATTGCCTCTGTCTCTGGAAGGACGGGCCACGAGTCAAAGATCATCCTCGGCTTTCAGTTTTAGGCCTGCTGGGAATCTGTTACCCTTTCCCTTCTCACCTGCTTTTCTTTAGGCTGGACCTGTTTCACCATGACTCTGCAAAACACGTATCGTTCTTGACTTCACAGGCTGACAGTATTATGAGCCCTCAAGATTATGAGCCATAACTGTGTCAGTGATACATCAGGTACTAGAAGAGGCCTTGGACAGGTGGAATGCGGTGGTCTGTGAATGTTTATGTCCAATATATGACGAAATCCTAACCTCCCAGTTGGTGATGAGAGAAAGGGTCTTCCTAGAGGCGACTAAGAGTGGTGCCCTCACGAATGAGGGCAGTGTCCCAACAAGCATGTTTTCCCTTGTGCCAGGTGAGGAATGAAGAATGTACCAGTCTATACACCATGCAAGGACAGACCCAGAACCTACCAGCTCCTTGATCCCAGACTTCCCAGCCCACAGAACAGTGAAAAATAAAATGTCAGCTGTTTGCTGTTAAGTCTTTTGTTATCATAGTTCAAGCTGACTAGGATTCTACAGGCTTCCCACCTCTCCACTATAAGCTGGAAAGCATTCTCATGTCCTTAGGAGTGGTGGAGCCCTGAGGGAAGGAGCCTGGGAGACACAGAGCGCTCTGCCAGTAACCCACACTAGATTTATGCCATGGGTGAGAAATGAACCTTTCTGGGCTAAAGAACTGAGGTTTAGGGAGTATCTATAAATTAACCATCAGCCCACAGTAACCAATGTACTCTCACAGGGTCACGGAGTCCCGTGAATTAGAGGAGGGTGACATGTCCAATATCCCAGCGACCTCTTGATTAATCTTGACAACTTGAGGGGTTTGAGAGTACCTAGGAGAGTAATAAAGCACATTCTGGATACGTCTGGAAGAGCATTTATATTAAGAGTGCGGGGAGACCTACTCTGACTGTGGGCAGCACCCCCTGGCCCCGGGCCATCAGCCTGGGGATCCATATGGAATCTATACGGGGGAGAGTGGAAAGGGCTGGAGGCACAGGCTCTTTTCACTCTGCTTCCTGGTCTCCCTGCTGCCATGGAGTGAAACCTCTGAAACTGTGGGCCAAACTAAGTCTTGCTCGGGTATTTCTCTCAGCCATGGAAAACTTGACTCACAGGGCTAAAACTAGCATGTTCCAACTCCAGCCTTGAACATGAGGGTGGGGACTATAACCACAGCCCACCAACCTGGGCAGCATCAATTCCAAAAAAGACTTTATTCATTGTTTCAAATGTCATTGGTCTCTGTGGGCCACCTAGTGTGTGGGGCGGGGTGGGGGGAGATGGGGGGGGG